ACACATCTTGACCAAGTCACAGAGCATCAAAGAATCAGAACAACATTGCTGTCGAGACTGTCTATATGTGTCTATGTTACAGCCGCTCTGGGAGTTTCACACGTACCAGGTATATATGTGTCTATGTTACAGCCGCTCTGGGAGTTTCACACGTACCAGGTCTATATGTGTCTATGTTACAACCGCTCTGGGAGTTTCACACGTACCAGGTATATATGTGTCTATGTTACAACCGCTCTAGGAGTTTCACACGTAACAGGTATATAGGTGTCTATGTTACGGCCGCTCTGGGAGTTTCACACGTACCAGGTATATATGTGTCTATGTTACAGCCGCTCTAGGAGTTTCACACGTACCAGGTATATATGTCTATGTTACAGCCGCTCTGGGAGTTTCACACGTACCAGGTATATATGTGTCTATGTTACAGCCGCTCTGGGAGTTTCACACGTACCAGGTCTATATGTGTCTATGTTACAGCCGCTCTGGGAGTTTCACACGTACCAGGTATATATGTGTCTATGTTACAGCCGCTCTGGGAGTTTCACACGTACCAGGTATATATGTGTCTATGTTACAGCCGCTCTGGGAGTTTCACGCGTACCAGGTATATATGTGTCTATGTTACAGCCGCTCTGGGAGTTTCACACGTACCAGGTATATATGTGTCTATGTTACAGCCGCTCTGGGAGTTTCACACGTACCAGGTATATATGTGTCTATGTTACAGCCGCTCTGGGAGTTTCACACGTACCAGGTATATATGTGTCTATGTTACAGCCGCTCTGGGAGTTTCACACGTACCAGGTATATATGTGTCTATGTTACAGCCGCTCTAGGAGTTTCACACGTACCAGGTATATATGTGTCTATGTTACAGCCGCTCTGGGAGTTTCACACGTACCAGGTATATATGTGTCTATGTTACAGCCGCTCTGGGAGTTTCACACGTACCAGGTATATATGTGTCTATGTTACAGCCGCTCTGGGAGTTTCACACGTACCAGGTATATATGTGTCTATGTTACAGCCGCTCTGGGAGTTTCACACGTACCAGGTCTATATGTGTCTATGTTACAGCCGCTCTGGGAGTTTCACACGTACCAGGTATATATGTGTCTATGTTACAGCCGCTCTGGGAGTTTCACACGTACCAGGTCTATATGTGTCTTATGTTACAGCCGCTCTGGGAGTTTCACACGTACCAGGTCTATATGTGTCTATGTTACAGCCGCTCTGGGAGTTTCACACGTACCAGGTATATATGTGTCTATGTTACAAGCCGCTCTGGGAGTTTCACACGTACCAGGTCTATATGTGTCTATGTTACAGCCGCTCTGGGAGTTTCACGCGTACCAGGTCTATATGTGTCTATGTTACAGCCGCTCCAGGTCTATATGTGTCTATGTTACAGCCGCTCTGGGAGTTTCACATGTACCAGGTCTATATGTGTCTATGTTACAGCCGCTCTGGGAATTTCACACGTACCAGGTATATATGTGTCTATGTTACAGCCGCTCTGGGAGTTTCACACGTACCAGGTATATATGTGTCTATGTTACAGCCGCTCTGGGAGTTTCACACGTACCAGGTATATATGTGTCTATGTTACAGCCGCTCTAGGAGTTTCACACGTACCAGGTATATATGTGTCTATGTTACAGCCGCTCTAGGAGTTTCACACGTACCAGGTATATATGTGTCTATGTTACAGCCGCTCTAGGAGTTTCACACGTACCAGGTATATATGTGTCTATGTTACAGCCGCTCTGGGAGTTTCACACGTACCAGGTATATATGTGTCTATGTTACAGCCGCTCTGGGAGTTTCACACGTACCAGGTATATATGTGTCTATGTTACAGCCGCTCTGGGAGTTTCACACGTACCAGGTATATATGTGTCTATGTTACAGCCGCTCTGGGAGTTTCACACGTACCAGGTATATATGTGTCTATGTTACAGCCGCTCTAGGAGTTTCACACGTACCAGGTATATATGTGTCTATGTTACAGCCGCTCTGGGAGTTTCACACGTACCAGGTATATATGTGTCTATGTTACAGCCGCTCTGGGAGTTTCACACGTACCAGGTATATATGTGTCTATGTTACAGCCGCTCTGGGAGTTTCACACGTACCAGGTCTATATGTGTCTATGTTACAGCCGCTCTGGGAGTTTCACACGTACCAGGTCTATATGTGTCTATGTTACAGCCGCTCTGGGAGTTTCACACGTACCAGGTATATATGTGTCTATGTTACAGCCGCTCTGGGAGTTTCACACGTACCAGGTATATATGTGTCTATGTTACAGCCGCTCTGGGAGTTTCACACGTACCAGGTATATATGTGTCTATGTTACAGCCGCTCTGGGAGTTTCACACGTACCAGGTATATATGTGTCTATGTTACAGCCGCTCTGGGAGTTTCACACGTACCAGGTATATATGTGTCTATGTTACAGCCGCTCTGGGAGTTTCACACGTACCAGGTCTATATGTGTCTATGTTACAGCCGCTCTGGGAGTTTCACACGTACCAGGTATATATGTGTCTATGTTACAGCCGCTCTGGGAGTTTCACACGTACCAGGTATATATGTGTCTATGTTACAGCCGCTCTGGGAGTTTCACACGTACCAGGTATATATGTGTCTATGTTACAGCCGCTCTGGGAGTTTCACACGTACCAGGTATATATGTGTCTATGTTACAGCCGCTCTGGGAGTTTCACACGTACCAGGTATATATGTGTCTATGTCACAGCCGCTCTAGGAGTTTCACACGTACCAGGTATATATGTGTACTTATCCTGTGTGTTATATATGACACTGGGCGCCGAATGTCGCAATGCAAAACTCCGACTTGTCTGGATTCGCTGTTAAAACATATGACATGTGGCTTCACTGTGTTTGTTTTACTCTTATGTGGCAGAGTTATGCATTGTGTAACAGTCGCAAATGCATTACAGTGTTGGTTATTCATGCATACATAATCCCCTCTCCCAAGTTGGGGGGCGATGGGGTAGCCTAGTGGTTAAAGCGTTCGCTCGTCACGCCGAAGGCCCGGGCTCGATTCCCCACATGGGTACAATGTGTGAAGTCCATTTCTGGTGTCCCCCGCCGTGATATTGCTGGAATATAGCTAAAATCGGCGTTAAACTATAAACTAAACTCACTCACTCACTCTTCCTAGTTGAGACATAGCACGTCTTTCAACACGTTACAGTCTATACACTCGCTGAATGCAGTGTGATCAGTATGTACTCATGGGACAGACATTACACACTTCCTTGCCATCATGTAAATCTCTCAATGTAGAATTGACTGTTGTGCATACTATTGATATTTAATATGCCTAAAATATAAACGACGTTCCTCTATAGGGAGATACACGTTGCCTGAAACGGATGGGGGAGATTTTAGCTTCCCACAGCCTGTTCATTATCGTTGTGTGTTATAATTGATAAATTGTGCATCAAACAAGCCCGATCATACAGGTTGTTGCATTGTGTTTTGGAAATGACGTTGAACGCTTGGAACCCACAACACATTCGGCTAAGACATATTCGGGTATTCAAATTAAAATGCGGCATGTCAGCAAGTAAGGTTTCTTAAAGTTACATGAATAGAAATAGTTATAACAGGGATTCCTTCCATTGCTGCCCGAGCTGAATTTTGTGAATATTCAGTATTGGTCAGTGGTGTCCTATATTTATACTGGGAGTTCTTGAAGGTACTATTTGATACTACAACCGCCAAGGCCTTTCCAGCATAGTCAAACCCAGAATATGATGGAATGTTCAAGAACAGTCATTCTCTATATGAAAGTCGTGATTCGATCCCTCGTCATATTTCATTACATCTCAAGTTACAAGAAAACCAGCAGTTGTGTTGAAGTCAACTTTCACCTTGGACACTCCGGATAGGGCGTTTTGGATGCTAGACCAGTGTTGTAGCAAGGTGAATATTACCACCACTGTCTCTATTGCTGTTATCACTGCTTTCTGCCATTGGGTTTGTACTGCCACCTCTGTACTGATTTCCCTTGGTTGTAAACATAGAATTCAATTGTGAATGAAATCACATTTCTTTATTGTTTGTTGGTTTCAATATGGGAATAAACTCGTAACAATACAGTTATCTATTTTCTTGACTCAGCATGTAATGATTAAAGTGATCTGTGGACGTGTGATAGCCGGCTTCAACCAAAGACAAAACTCTGTAAAATCCATGTGTGTGTGTTGTAAAACATGAACGTTTAAATCCGTAATGGGACATGGTTCAACGGCGTGACAGGTCCGCATCAATCCGCAGATTACAATTTCAGGGTGTTTTCCCCACTCCTCTTGTACACCACTCAAGATATACTCTATGGGACATCTGTCAGGGATCATGGCTGTGGGTACGGGCTATATCGGCTTGAACAACAAACGGCCAGCAAACGGTAACATCAAAATGTTGTTTCGTCAGTGCCATTGTTTTACGAACAATGTGCATTGGTCTTCTGACTCATATCATACCCCAAACCCGTGAAGTTGCCAAACGCTGACGAAAGCACGCCGTTCGCCAGCAGGACGCCAGGCAAGCCTACACCTTTCCAGAATAAAACATCGGAGAACATAATGATGCCATCTACTATTGCTTCATTTTCACATCTGAGTGTGACTCTTGACTTCCAGTGTTCGAAACCCCACATCGAAAACATGAAATAACAGTCGCGACAGAAAATTCAGTATTCCTCAAGTCCTGTGACAGAATATGTTACCATGGGGGACATCTTCTGATTATTTGTTGTTATTTTATGCCGTGCCATACTACAGCTCCTGCCAGTCTTTGCCGTAATTGTAGCCAGCCATCCTCGATGATCTCTGCTGCTGTGCTGTTCTGAAGCAGCGCCCTGTTGTGCTAGATAGCACTGTTGCTCTGCGACGTGTCATCAAGCACCTGCTATGACATTTAATGATCAAAGGACCCTGTGTGGACTCAGTAGAAAAGATAACTAGAACAAGAACAATATAATCTGTCGCACGTGTAAATACATCCCAACAAACAACAACAGGATTTGTCCATAAGTCTCTGTCAGAACATGAAAATAATCTGAGCAGTATCGGTGCAGAATATGCCCAATACATGAACGTCATTTGTATTGATGTTCTTCAGGTCGACCTTCACCGTTGTCACTCTTGGTCTTTGTCGTAATTGTAGTAGCACAAAACTGTATCCGATTAACGCCACGGGCTGTATTTCAGCTTTACAGGACATCGGATCAATTATTTTGCATCTACCCACAGACCCTGAAGTGCACGATGTGTAGACCGACCAACGCTGTTTGCGGTAATCAAAGAGTTTTCACGCCGTCATTCCTAACACAGAGACTCTGGTCCTGGAGACATGGACATTGCACTGGGCGGTCACTATTCATTGGTTATCAGTACTGACAATATAACATTGAAAACAAAGGTACAACTGTAGAAAGAACTTACAAATCCGCTAATTTTAGCGTATGTCAATGTGTCTAATGGTATTTCACATACCCTTCCTGCCGCCTCGATCGGGTCTTACAACACACATCAAAAACCCAGTGTAGTCCCGATCCTTTCACCATAAGTTGTTATTTTGTTTTCGGGAAAAAGATATATATTTTTTGCAAAACTTTTCGTTTTTCATTCGCTCAAATATTATGAGACGTCACATGGAGAGAAAGGATTTCTCGGTCCGCTTCCGACAGTTTTTGCCGCACATACGGCACCCTGCCAACTCGTGATGACGTTCCTGGGTCAGCGGTCAACCGGATATCGTCTGTTTCCGACATGCTGGTGTACTCCGTCGCAGACGTTCCTCGCGGGGAGTCGTCATTGCAGCACCGGCACCATCGTTCAGACAACTTCCGGAACACGTACACTCTTCTGAAACGAAGACCGAAAGACTTAAACTCTGTGGGACAGCATGAAATCAGAAATGAAGATCCATCTCTGGAGACTCCTATAAAGAGACGAAATTAAATTCACGAGACATCTTATATCTTTTACGTCCTGAAAACATATTTCGTGTGCAATTGTGGTAAATTTGGAATGCATTAGTCCAAGGGTGAGGCAATGTGACATGATCTGAGACGACTTGACGTGTTCGACCCAAATGGCTTCAAGTAAACAAGTACACGCATATGAATCCATTTACCCAGGGATTGTGTGTGTGTAACCTTTCAGTATAATCATACATTTGTACTTAAGAATACCACGTACTGAAGACATTCTTAAATGGTAACTGCAGCAAATGTTGCTGTCGTAACTACAATTTTTCGTTATAATATTTACTGTGATTCACTCGGATGTATTGGCGCATTGGCGTAAATTAATAAGTATGGAAGAAAATAGATACCTTAAATATATTATCTTATGCTTAAAAGAATGGATAAAAATGGACGGAAGTCATGGGAAAATAAACATAAAACTAATTCACATTTGTCGTTGCAATTATGCTTGGGATTTCCAAAATATTGTTAATACTGATTCATTTATTTGGCAGTTCGTGCAAAATGTTAACAAAAGAAATGCTCAGTCAATTCTTTCCATGTTAAATTACATTTACTACATTCTTCACTATATAGACATGTTATGCGTTTCCCAATGGAAGGTTGTGGTAACGTATCTCTCGTCATCAGGAGCGGTATGTTCATCTGACGATACTGTAACCCTGTCCTGTTTGTTGTTGTCTAACTATACAGTGTTGTTGCTGTAAGTCAGTTTATCAATACATTCAGACGATCTCTCGTCATCAGGAGCTGTATGTTCACCGCGGCCGACACTTCCCGGTCAGTGAACTGATCGTTGACCGTTCTACCGAATGAAACAGTGTACATGTTTTCGTAAACATCCTTCATTCTCTGCATAATGGTCAATACCCCAGTGACCCTTGCACAGCGAGAGTAAATACTTATTTAAAATCGCTTTCATGAGACAAATTGCACTTTCAACGTACGGCTTCATTTGTGATTGAACATCTACATTTCCCCCTAAAACACATGTAGCCAAACAACCACTACAGAGCTACATCTTTTTCTAAAACCCGTCAACCTAATGTACACATGCGAGGGGAACTTTGCGTTGCTGATACAATTTTCTCAATCAAGATGTGATTCCCAAATCAATAATTCGTCAAGAAATTATTATGTCCTCGGCACACCAATCTCTCCACGGAAGCCTCAACATTACACGTAGATTTAAATAATTTACATATTTCATTAATCACTTAACACCTGACAGGTATTTTATTTCCCTTCGTTGACAACGTTTTTCTCTCCGGGAGATTAGAACCGAGATGTTGATGTGACGTCCATTGCGAAAAGACTCTCTTGAGACGGCAAATAAATTGGAATTCCTTTCAATCTGAGGATGGATTTCCTACTTTCTAATAAAACCCACTTAGTAAAACAAGGCACTCTGTATAGCGTTATACATATGCTGGCTTTGAATAAAGCACTTCCATTTTGAAAGGGATCTGGGGAATTTCGGCTGGGAACCATACTATAACGTCATTGAGCGCTGTGTGCTTTTAGATATCGTTTCATAAACCGGCTTCATATAGGAGAAATAACTGGATTACAGACGAATCAAGTATGTCGATGCAGATGTTCGGGTAAAATCGTAACAAATGAAAGAGGAAGATGGCCACCTTGAAAATAATTATAATGGTGTATATTTTGAAAGTCAAAGAAAGTAGATGTATTAGCTGAATTTCCCCTTCGCTTGAATGTCCTATGTATAATAGTTTAAGAGAGATAAATAAGTGTGCACATCTTTCCCCAGTGAGAAGTATCTGGCAAAGAACATTATAACCAACCAGCGGAATATAGTTCAATCCATCTTTTATGTATGTTATATTGCAAAATAACATTTGTCGTATTTCACACAATGAGCTTCCCAAATGTATTTGCCACAGCTTCAACGGAAACAGTGCTTCATTGGATTTTGAGCCGCTTTTAAGACATCAATTGGTGTTTTGATCGTTAAGATATTTAAATATTTTGATGAATGTTTTGGTGATCATAACAACGTCAAAATAACGCTTACGGATAGCAAAGGACATGTTAAAAATCAGTGCAAACAGGACTGGCGCAAAATAAAGTTACAAGAACATTTGTCGTCTTTAGAGACGTTATCGTCATTAGGACATCACGTCATTGCAACGGCCCTGGTCATCCAAGTGCGACGTCACGTCAACCAGACAACCACATTTGGTTGGTGTTTATACGCAAACGATACCAAACTATATATACACTAACCTCGTCACCGCATGATACGGTTTGGTGTCGACAGTTGCTGCGGTTCAGAAAACAAGACTGGTAAAGTGTATTCACATATAAATCCGAGTTTCAATCGGATGCATCGAGGGTCATCAGGCGACCAGGAGAACGTTTTAGTGATCCATTCATATCAGTTTTACAGCTATTTTGTCCAAGACTGGACATTCTTTAGCTCTGACATTCTATTTTTACTTAACTTCGTCAGTTGGGGGCGGAAGAGTAAAGGCCTGGTGTTGCACCACAACTGACCATTGTTAATGGCAATTTGAATGGTGTACCGATCATCGTTCGAGACGATGTCTCTCCAATCTGCAGGGACGTAGCGTCACGTTGCAACAGGACAATGCCAGCCGACGCACGTCTTGAGACGTTCTGATGTAGCATGCTGTACTGCCATGCCCCGCTGTTACTCCTGCTTTCTACCATCTGTCGGCTCCATCCCTAACACTATCTCACCTGTTGCCACTATGGGGATTGTCATATGAATTGGTTGTGAAAAGACCTGGCTCAAACAAATGCTGTTATCTTCAATAACCCGACATTGATACCACTTGTATGAAGCACAGTTACTTCTTCCTTGAGTATATATTGAAAGGCAAAGATTGCCCTCCAGCTGATTCAATCGTGACGTGCTGTATCTTCCAGCAGGATATTGTTGAGGCGGATCACTAGATCTTTGAGACTATAATACATATTGTGTATGTCACTGAATGGTCTCCCATTAACACTTAGATGCGCTTTTAGTTGAATAGATCAGGCATTTCCAATCATCCCGACTGAGTATGTAGAGTATCTGGAAGGAAATCATTTGTACTGACAAACGTGTTCAGACGCTTCACCTTCACATGTACTTCTCTCAAAGCCCAAATGAATATGCATTACATACTGATATATATCTTGATTGCTTACCGCCGACACATTCAAAATGATCACCTGTGGGTTATTTGCAAACAACACTGTGTCTAATGACACAAATTGAAAAAGCGGAAATTCGTATTGTACGGTGACATGTGAATGTTTTCATGCGAGGCGCACACATATGACCAATATCATTATCAAAAGACAATTCTACGACAGCATATTTATCCAGTCAATAAAGAAGTAAATGTTGTGTCTCAGTTTGTTTGAAGAAATATCTGAGGAGCAGGTGACCTTATTTTTCGTAGCGCTAAAAATTACGGAATATTATGGTCCATTTGAATGACCTGGAAGTAACAAGGCTTCCAGTCGAGCACTGAGTGGTCTGGTGTCACAGAAGCAGTAAGGAGCGTTTCAGAAGACACTTTAAGTTCCAAACCGGACCCTAATCGAGAAGCAAAATGCTTCAATGCAGAACCATTAACCGCCTTATTATGGCATGGATGTGATTACTTTAAAGGCGTCACCTGGAGGAAAGAGCCCGCGACGGATCGATTGTACCTAAATTAGTTTATGAAACCAACCTATCTGAACATTATCACCAAGTGATACGATTTTAGTTCGGGTAAAATGTCTTTTATTTCATTTTGTCACATGATTACATATTAGTTTTTTCTTTTACAGAGTATAATGAGATTCCAGACTCTGTTTGAGTCCCGTGTGATAAGTCAGACTTGGTAATTGCCAGTAATTAAGGATCATCATCGGGGATTATGGGGTCAAAATGTGGGGATTTATACAGCAGAACGATACCAATCACTGGCCTGGTAGGGCTGTACAGTGTTACTATGGTTCCACAGAACACATTTCACAAGTAATATGTCCTTATATCGTCTACACATTTTATCACTGACTGTAAGTTTCAAGTGATTTGAATAAAGGGACTGTGACACGTGAGTGAAAGACTTGACCAATCCAGGTAACAATGAAGCAAATAACTGACAAATGCACAATGGTTATGTTTTAAGTTGTTAACCATTTAAATGCAAGGAACAAGTCAACTTTTTTATAAACACAGGCATGATCAGTTATAAAGGTTTTCCAATACATCACAATTTGTATCTACAGATCGATCCTAGGATGCGACCAAGATGTCAGCACCAAGGTCCGAGACTGCGTCGCCCTGACTACCAGATAACTGTTCCTTCTCAAGAGTATTAAAGGCTCTAGAGTATACAAATAAACAACAAACGTAAACAGTTTCTTGTAATTTTAGATTATTGTTGTACGGTATAATCCTCTTGTCTGTGGCCAATACGACATCGTCTGCTACCACTGTCTCTTCTTTTACATCACAGCTAAAGACAGACTTGTTTGATCAGGACTACCAGTTCCAGCGATAAACTCTCTGCTTGCACACAGAGCACATCACGTTTGTGAATTGCTGCGTTTTATAAACGCATGTATTATTATTATTTTGTCAGATACCCCGTCGTGTTGACATTATGGGGTGTTATGGCTGCTGCTGCTGCAGTACATGTAGTTTTGTGACACTACATCTAATTTCATAATTTCAGAGATTACAAGACTGCGATCAGATTCTATCTCAGACATGTAATGGAAACGAAGTGGAACAACCATATGGATATAGATATCTTACATAGTCTAGCTTACACCAACTTGGATTGTAAGGTTACATTTAATGAGATCATCAGGCTATGCTATGGTGTTGGCCATTCAAATTAT